AGGTGAGCCCGGGCCCGACCCCAACTCTGATCACCCCCATAACCCCAAAGCGCTGTCCTGCCTGTACACCTTCTGCAAGAGGTGAGCCCACCCCGACCCCACCGCCCCCATGACCCCAACGCGCTGCCCTGCCTGCCCACCTGCGAGAGGTGAGCCCGGGCCAGACCCCAACTCTGATCACCCCCATAACCCCAACGCGCTACCCTGCCTGCACACCTCCTGTGAGAGGTGAACCTACCCTGACCCCGACCGCCCCCATCCCAACGCTGCCCTGCCTGCCCACCTGCGAGAGGTGAGCCCGGGCCAGACCCCAACTCTGATCACCCCCATAACCCCAACGCGCTACCCTGCCTGCACACCTCCTGTGAGAGGTGAACCTACCCTGACCCCGACCGCCCCCATCCCAACGCTGCCCTGCCTGCCCACCTGCGAGAGGTGAGCCCGGGCCAGACCCCAACTCTGATCACCCCCATAACCCCAACGCGCTACCCTGCCTGCACACCTCCTGTGAGAGGTGAACCTACCCTGACCCCGACCGCCCCCATCCCAACGCTGCCCTGCCTGCCCACCTGCGAGAGGTGAGCCCGGGCCAGACCCCAACTCTGATCACCCCCATAACCCCAACGCGCTACCCTGCCTGCACACCTCCTGTGAGAGGTGAACCTACCCTGACCCCGACCGCCCCCATCCCAACGCTGCCCTGCCTGCCCACCTGCGAGAGGTGAGCCCGGGCCAGACCCCAACTCTGATCACCCCCATAACCCCAACGCGCTACCCTGCCTGCACACCTCCTGTGAGAGGTGAACCTACCCTGACCCCGACCGCCCCCATCCCAACGCTGCCCTGCCTGCCCACCTGCGAGAGGTGAGCCCGGGCCAGACCCCAACTCTGATCACCCCCATAACCCCAACGCGCTACCCTGCCTGCACACCTCCTGTGAGAGGTGAACCTACCCTGACCCCGACCGCCCCCATCCCAACGCTGCCCTGCCTGCCCACCTGCGAGAGGTGAGCCCGGGCCAGACCCCAACTCTGATCACCCCCATAACCCCAACGCGCTACCCTGCCTGCACACCTCCTGTGAGAGGTGAACCTACCCTGACCCCGACCGCCCCCATCCCAACGCTGCCCTGCCTGCCCACCTGCGAGAGGTGAGCCCGGGCCAGACCCCAACTCTGATCACCCCCATAACCCCAACGCGCTACCCTGCCTGCACACCTCCTGTGAGAGGTGAACCTACCCTGACCCCGACCGCCCCCATGACCCCAAGGCGTTGCCCTGCGTGCACGCCTTGTGTGTGAGGTGAGCCTGACCCTGACCGCCCCCATAGCCCCACGGTGCTGCCCTGCCTGCACACCTTCTGCGAGAGGTGAGCCCGGGCCAGACCCCAACTCTGATCCCCCCCATAACCCCAAAGCGCTGTCCTGCCTGCACACCTTGTGTGGGAGGTGAGCCGACCCCGACTCCACCGCCCCCGTGACCCCAACGCGCTGCCCTGCCTGCACACCTTGTGTGGGAGGCGAGCCCACCCCGACCCCACTGCCCCCATAACCCCAACGCGCTACCCTGCCTGCACACCTTCTGCGAGAGGTGAGCCCCCCCCGACCCCGACTACCCCCATAACCCCAATGCTGCCTTGCCTGCACACCTTTTGAGAGGTGAGCCCGCCCCGACCTGATCGCCCCCATTACCCCCATGCGCCGCCCCGC